TATATATACAATTAAATTTTGAAATTATTAAAAATTAAACTTTATTTTTTATAATATTGAATATACTTCACTTTGATGAACATAACTTAAGATTTATTCACAAAGATACTTTTAACTTTATTAGATTAAAAGATATTTTATAAACAAAATGTTATGAGAACAACGCGAAAGAAATCAAATTTTTATTTAAATAAAAAAAGAATCTATTCGGAATTGTTATAGATTAAAATCCAATTGATTTTAGATATTTAGATTTTAGATACTGTCGTATATTCTTGGCTGCTTCGAGCAAAAAAAAAATAATACACACGCATGAAGCATACACAAAAAATACAGAGTAATACCGTCATTGATTATAGTTAGTATATCGGGGATATTTATCTGCACTTAAATCATTTCTATTCTTGTGCCTCTATAATCGCTACGATGTACATAGTAAATTATATAAATTTTGAAATAATAGAATACACGTAGATATGAGAATGTCTATAAACACATAGACATGAGAATGTCTATAAACACGAGAAATATCTAGTAATTATTTATCGTCTTCCGCATTACGTTCTTGGAATCAACACAAATAAGAAAACAAGAAAAAATTAATCAAATTATAAAACGTGTACTAACTGTTGCAAAATTTACATAAAAAGTGTTTATACATTTATATTAAAATTATTAATTTAAAGCAAATATGCTTGTTAATATTAATGTCATAAAAATTACATGTTTACGTTTATTTTCATTTTAAATACAAAGTATATTCCCTAGCAAATATTTCACACAGATACCTCTGACTACAGAAATTCTGTGTTTGCGTTTTACAATTATTATGTAAAATTATGTTCTGGAGAAATCTTTCAGAATAATGTCGTGATTTGACAAAAATATCATTAAAAATCATTAGAGGCTAGACATTTTTTAATAAGTTTTTTATGAAGTGAATAATTCTAGATTTCGCTATTGAAGAAGTTATTCGCTATGTAATCTACTCAGTTATTATTCGAAATATAGATAGATAAAAGCAGAGAATGTAATTTTTTTTAAATTAATTCCGATGAGCATTGAAAACTGATAAAAATATATCATTGTCATCTCAAAACGTTAAATTGAAATATTAAATATTAAAATATTAAAATTTAAATAAAACGGATTAATGAATTAATAATCTGTATTTTAAAAAACATACAACGCATAATATAAGTTATGAAAAAAATAAATATATAATAAATTGATTTTTTAAAATATTCTATCTCTTTGTGTGTTTGAAATTTAAATAAACAAAGTGGTTTTTCTAGATATTTGTATGAAAAAAAATGTTTTGTCTTAAAATTAAGCTCATTTTAAATGTTTTGTAATTCAACGTTTGATTTCAGATAGTAGAATTTAATTACAACTTTAAATGCACTCTCTTGATACATATTTGTATATTTTAACATATATTTTTTATACATAAATGCATTCTGATTCTTCAAATATTTTTTGTATTACGATGTACAAAATTATAAATAAAAATTCTATCTTGAAATCTGATATGAATAATAGATTATTTAAAAAATGAACTTTAAATGAAATATAAACTCTAAAATAAAATTTTCTATGTAATATGTTAAAAATACAAAATATTTGGCAAACATTTTATTTCTACATTAGAAGCTCGTTTCTTTAATCATTTATTTATCACGATATAATATAGTAATTCTTTACAACTTTATATTTTTAATTTTTTCAGAATGCGACAAAGTAACTTTATTGTGTTGTATTACATCTAAAGAATTTAAAACGGCAAATAATAGACGCAGAATTATAGAATAGCTAAGCAGCACTGCATTTAATTGCAAGTTTACAATTTTATATTACAATTTGTGGGATTGCAATATATTTACGTATATTTACAGAACGTCCAATTTTTTATGTTCTAAACAAACACAAATGTTAATTTTTAAATAAATTTAAAGAAATTATTTTTTTAGTAAAAGATTTTTGAATTGAGATTGTGATGATTCGCCACCAGAAGTCCAATGGGACTCGCTCAGATTCGCGTGAGCAGCACAGTCTTTCTTTTTAAATAGAATATCAATTTAAATTCATTCCAGGCGTTTAAGGCAGAGCCCACACTACATCGCCTTACTGATGAGTCTAGTAATGAAACGAAACGCCGCGGCCGATCAAAAGCTTCGAGTTAGGCCTTTTTTAGTGGACTCGAATATCATTTGCGTACAGACATTCACAAGATAAATGTAAACGTGTGCATAAATTGTAATAATTAAATTGATCCAGATAACTAAATTATATGTTACAAGAAAAAGATGCAAGATTCTTTCTTTTTAGAGAATACAATTTTACAATAAAAAATATCAAACAAGTTATTAATGAAATATAATTGTTATAAAATGTTTTTTTAATATTTAAAATATTTTTGTTACCTAGGATAATTTTAAAATAAATCGACACACACACACAAATTTTTCCGATTTTATATTCTGTAGACAGTTATATTTTTTTGAATAATTTTTCAAAGAAGCTTTCAGGAACGTTTAACTGACAGACGTCATATAGTGACGTGTGCTATAACATTGTAAAATGTGTGAATGGTGACGTTAAGGAACGTGAATAAGAATTAAACGTTTACAATTATAAAATAGTAAAGTATTAGATAGTAAAATTGAAATTTTATGTAACATTATTGGGGCAAAGGTTATAGAAAAGTTTGAAAATGTTGCGTTATTAAAATCAAAATTATTATATCGATTAACATACTTTTATTAATAATATTATATATATATCAAAAAAGCAATACTATGCACGTGTAAAAAGAGATGTCACATAGTATTTCTAAAGATGTAGCATTGTTAAATGTAATAAACACACACACATACACACACACACACATTATTGATTAATGTTTCTCATATTAATTTTTCTCTTGCAAGAATGCAAATTTAATATTTTTTCAGATACTTTTTTAATTAAAAATTTGATATAGTTCATACTAATGGATGGCTTACTATTTTTTTCTTTACTATACTATACTATTTTGTTGTACATTTATTATTAGGCTATTCGAAATATCTTATATCTTATCTCTCTCTCTCACATTTTTTATTTTTATATTTAAGGTAATCAAATAAACAGACGTAATTTGGAGCCAAATCAACATGACATACACAAATAAACGACGAACAAGATGTATTATTATTATTATATAATCTATTTAATAATCAAACTTTATGTAATTTCCTTTCGAGGAAACGAGAACAAAGAGCTTTTCGATCAATTCCTTTTTATGTTTATGGAACCATTAAAAAAAATATTGAGCAACATTTAAAAAATAAAAACTGCTCACCTATTCGAAGAAATAAACTAATGTGCTTTAAAATTGTTAAAATTGTCATTGTTATTTAAAACGTCGTGTACAATTAATATATAATATTAATAATGATAACAATAATAATATCAATAATAATAATATTAATAATGTTAATTAATAACATTATTATAATTTACATAATTTTTGCATAATTTCTTCAAATATTGAGTATATATATATATATGTTTTTTGTTGAAACGTGAAAAATAATTTAATTGCAAAATATAAACTTTTTTCCTTCATAATCAACTTGCATTGCCTTCCTATCCGTCCGGAAGTATAACCACGAGCTTTTATCTATTTCTACTTTTGCAACTGGAAATAGCGAAGAATTTAAAGGATTAACAATTTATTCTCGCTTTATTATTTTGATATTACAATATATTAAAGTGGAACTAATTATGTTTTGATGTCTCTTTAATAAAACATTCAAAACATTAAATTTTACATAGAATTTCATGAAACATTAGATTTTACATAGAACTTACATAGATTTTCTTGGAAAAGTAAAAAATAGTAATTTATTTTTAACAAATTCGTTAAACAAAAATCAATTTTAAATTAAGTCTTCTATTAAAAATTGATCCAATATGAATAAAGTATTCTGCATATCCTAATGAATGTGTACATGATGAGTTGAATTTTGATAATTTATTCTTTCCTGTCTTTATACTTTTATTGCATGATAAAAGATATTTCTGTAATGATGATTACACCTATTTTTTCGCTAATTCTTTTTTAATTTTTTCAAAGGTAATAAACGCGTACAAACGAAAAATTGAGAAAGTGAAATCTTTAACTTTGTCTGACGTCTCTGATATACCTAATTTAAAAGGAATATGAAAGATTTTAATCCTTTGATTGATCACAGACGTCAAAACTACATTGCGGATGCAGATATAAGAGAACAGCAAGATAATAAAAAATAAAAAGAAGCAGGAGAAAATGAAAAAAAATAAAGAAAAATTATCGCGTGATCTTTTTGAACGCGCGCTTGCATAATTGGAAGGATACTCGCGTCATTGAAAAAATACACTAATAAGTCTTCATTTACTTTGATCATAGTTACGCTGACGGCGAGGCAACACGTGGAGCTGTGACTCATCGGACATGCGTCCGAGGATTCCCCAGTCTTCCTTCTTGCGCGATATCGTCCAGGAAGAGAGGATGCTCCAGGCACACTACACTTGTCTCCTATTTTCCTCGTTCGTCAGCCTAAGACGTTCTGCCTCAGATAAGTTGAATGATACGATCTGACTCATGGTCACTTCGACTTGCGGTGCCCCACTACGCGATGCGTGATCAGAAACGCTTCTTCGGCGAGGAAAACTGTAAACGCGTATGTTTCGGTAAAGAACTGGTCAGTCTCACGAAGGTTCAGCAAGGCCGTGAGAGCGTAGCTCTAAGGATTTAGCACGTTGAACATCCAGTTATCGCAGTGTGTTGGATTCTGCTAAGGATTTTGAACCAATGAGAAATGCTTCGGAATGATTTGCCAGAAGTTCGCCTTGAAAGAGTGCCTCGAAAATAAATATTAAATAATAAATAAATAAATAAGAATATGTAAACTAGAAGATACTAAAAAAGTATAACTCAACGCGCTTAAAACATATTCTAAGTGTCAATAGAAAAAATGCAGTGATTTAATAAAAACGCAAAAAATAATTGATATTGACATTAAAGAAATATAATAAATCAGAGTAAAGTAAAGGTGTACACCCAGTTGTACACGTAAGTTTATTCTTTGTCAGAATTTGAAATCCGTTTAATGAAGTGATTATATGTAATTCGGTATTGTCGGTTTGACGACTGTTTAAAGTGCAAGCTAAATATAGCTAATATGCATACTTAAGATACTTTGATTCGCTTAGATGTTTACTTGCCTTCTGAAATCTTCCTTATAAGTATTTTCCTTATAATAAAAGTATAATTGCTTAGAAACGTAACTAAAATATAAATTAAACATATTTAACTAAAACAATCTTTTAAGTGTAATTAAATTATCTATTTATTATCCAGGGATACGTTTACTGTATATTTTTAACCAAGTCAAGAGTGTTGTCCAATAGAAATTATTGAAAAAGAATTATTGTTGCCGAATTATTGAAAAAGTGAGTTGCGTTTAAAATTTTTATTATCTCTTCGATTGGATACATATCGCATAATATTGTATATCTGCTATCGAATTTATATACTATATCTTCCTCATTAATATTTCAAATGTTTTGTTTACTATAATATGAAATTTAAGTATTCATTGTTTTATATCTCATATAATTTGCATAATAAATTTTCTTGCTTGAATAGGTTGGTGTTTTAAAAAATGTTTTTTTAAATATAAATGAAGGAAAGATAAGCTAATAAAAATCAACACGGATGTCAATGCACAATATAATGTCGATAACAATATTAGTCTATTACTCATATACTTAAACTATTATTCATTTGACATAGGCATGTAATTCCGGCTTTATTTATTTTGTTACTATTGTTTCGTATTTC